CACACACACACACACACACACACACAGATATACACACAGATATACACACCTCTCTCTTTGAATATACAGAATTTCTCTCACCCTATCAATCAACCATCTATCTGCCTTGCACGCCCTCACGTGTCAGCCCAGCACCCGTTCCCCCTCCCTCTCACTCCCCCCCTACCTTTCCGATCACTCCCACGCTCGCTTGGTCCCCTTAGCAACAAGCAGTAGAGAAGGCAAGGTCTGCCGTGACTGGCAAGGAAGGAGCAAACCCTAAGTCGAGAACCGACGGGAGCGCCACGTGGCACGAACTCTACGATTTGGCTTGACCAACGAGACGTGCCACCGTGAGCGTCGACGTGATTAGACCCTAATCATCCCCTAAGGTTCCGGAGTAGGGGAAGCTGTAAGACACAGGGACGCTGTATTCAGGTCACGAGTCTGGATGATCAATTCAATTCCACCTACCGTAATTCACTCTAGCCGCCCTCCTCCTCCTCCTGATCTTGTCTCACTCGGTTCCCGTGCAACTGGCCCTSGCAATCAAATCCATCCACAAGTCCACCCTCCTCTTCTTCGCTGAATCCCCACCCCTCTCGACTCCCCCTCCCCCTCCCCTCAAACGCAGCCGCTTTGTCGCCCGCTTCCTCTTCCCTCTCCTCTCTAACCTTCTCCCAACCAAGCAAGAACCAATCCTTCGTCTCCCTCTCTCTCCCTTCTCTGCTCTCTCCCTCTCACTCTCTCTCTCTCCCCCTACTCCTCGCCGTCCACACCTTTGAGAAACGACTTCCCCTCCCCTGACGGATCGAACCCGATCGCCRCGCAACTGACCAGATCAGACCGGACCCGACACAGGGCACCCCGTYTGAGCCCAGCACGGCCCCCCTCCTCCTCCCTCTTTCCCGCCCTACCCGACCTAGCGGGGCAGGGACATTCTAAACAAAAATTGGATGCAATAGTGGTCCCAATCCATTCAATTCAAAATGTATCTGATTGCCCGCGGATTCAAACCTAGGTCTGTATTTCAACAGCTCGTTGGGAATCCATTCAAAATGTCAAAACGTTCCCTCAGCCCGAACACACAGGCGGCTTATATTTCTTTTTCATTTTTGTTTCTTTTTGGGAAAAAGCAAGGAATCCATTATCATGAAGTCACRTGAGGCGATCGGCGGGGACGGGGGACTGGMGGCCCAAGGCGGTTCGACCGGCGCRGTAGCGCTCGGGCCAAACGCCGCCTGCCTTTCGGCAGGCCTGACCGGCGATGGACGATTCCAACGTGGAACGGTCAGCGTAGGTGGTAGCTCCGCGCTTTCGTGTTGACGAAGCCCTTTGGCAAGCGCCTTTGGGGATGCTATCAGCGGTTAGAGTTTGCCGCCACCACCCCGCCCATCCTCGCCAACCATAACTGTGGAAGATTTAGCTGAGTGTTGCTCCTTGGCTGTAGAAGGTTGGTGWTAAGGTTTAGGAGTAGTAGTTAAGATGGAACCCGAACTGGTGATGCAAGGAGAACGGGAGGGCAGAGCCCAAGTCCCGGGTGACTATCGTTTGGAGGAGGAAAGAGCAAGGGAAATGATAAGGGCRTGCTATGAGGAAGGCATCTTACCAACAGACATTGATCCAGGGGTGATGGAAGTGTCAGGCAGGGAAGTCRAGTTTATTTTGAATACCACGCTGGATGAAATCAAGATTAAGTGGCTGAAGGAGAGGACGGTCACCGTTATTTTTCGGCACGGTGCCCACTTTCTCCCAAAGAAGGTCAAGGAGGACGTTGTGAGAGCATATGAAGATGTGTGGATGCGGGACAAAACCTTCGGGCAGGAATTCAAGCGTGGAAGGATTAAAGTTGAAAGCCCGAATGTGGTTTCGTACGTCCCAAGGGCCCAAACCATTTCCGATTGGATGTTGAATAAGAAAACAGACTACATCGATCTGGCTGGCACAACATATAGAACAAAGTTCAAGCCGTGGTTGACAAGAGCGGAGATTAGGGATTGGAGGCAATTTATTGATCAAGACACTTTCTGGATGGTGGCTGCGGGTGTGCCTCTGGACGAAATGCCTTTCCTCCACGTACATGTGGAGAAGGCCATTGGGAAAGTGTTGAAGCAACATAAACCGGAAGCAGATAAATTGGATCCGAAGTTGGTGAACTTAAGGTTTGATATCGAACCGGCGAGCAGGGAGAACATGAAGGACAAAATCTATGTTCAAACATGTCAAGGGGATGTGCTGGAAGTTAAACTTGCAAATGCTGACTCAGCATGGTGCAAAAGATGCTGCACGTTTTTCCACACGGAAGACACGTGCAGAAGGTCGGATCGCCGAAACCAAGGTGGGGCTCGTCCAAGTCAACCACAAGCTTCGTCAACACCTCGGGCAGCGGAACCGCGAGAGGGGTATGTCGGCATCCTCAGGGCTCCACGTATTTCGACAAGTCAACCCCCTTTCGGGGTCCAACACGCGGCGGCGGGCTCCAGCCTTCCTGAAGGGGCAGTGCTGCGGAGTAACCCGGCTTTCTCACCAGGTGCTAACCAAGTTCTGCCTCATGTGGGTGCAGGAGGGGCTCATGGTCAGGGCAATGAAGCGACCTCGTCATTGGATACTATGTGGGCGGCTTTTCTGCAAAATCTACCTTCGCATCCATTCACAATGGCGCCATATGGAATGTCGTGGTCAAATATGCAGTTAGGCACGAGCCCCTCGGTAGAAAACTTACACGCYTTTATGCCGTGGAATCAAGGCTTGATGGGCTGGCCTCAGGGTATCCCCCAGGGAGGTTTGCCTCAGACCGGCACAACACCGATCAGGCATCCTCAAGAGAGATATCAAGCTACTAGTCCGGCATTGTCCGGATCCATGACTTCGGGTCAGAGCCGCCTTCGACAACAAGGTGAATCCCCAGTGAAGCAGCGAAGGTTGAGCAATACAGGTATAGATATCCAAGTAGATGAACTACGAGGGGAAGCCTCGGGAAGCTCTGGGGGCTCACAAGTACGATCCTCTGCAACAGGTAAGCGCAAATCGTTGCGACCCTGGATGGATGYTTTGTGAAAAGGCCAATCAGCGGTCGAGTCAAGGCTATTGCCTCTGATGTTAATGACCGCTAGGAACTCGTACTGGGTAGTAGCGTGGGTTGGTTCAGATGGAGTACCTTTGTTGCCTAACGCTCCGTGCCCAGAGTCTCCAATGCCACTTGCAAYGGAAACCCTGGCTACATCAATTTTCCAGAACAAAATTTGTTTCAGACTAATTGAAATTGCTATACCTCGCCTCCTAATCGAACTTGAAGAGAAAAGAGTTCGTCTCTATACCCCACTCTTTGATGCCCCCATCGATTCTCCTCTTCTGGATCAGTTGGAGAGTTAAGGTCTCRGATTCATCCCGTTAGTTTGGTTGTCGGAGGGTCGGAAGCCTGACCTGAGACGTATTAAATTGACACCATCTGTAACCGCAAAATGCTTGAGCGATTTGAACTCCAAGTTGGGTAAGGAAAGAAAGCTTGACTCTCATTTTCTGAAATGAGTTTTGACCGAAGCATGGCCAATATCAACCCCGCCTGCGGAGGGTACCTCCCAAATCCAACACACGGGAGCAGATGCTCTSAATGGGCAGGCTTAGGGTTGCCACCTGGAATGTGCRTGGGCTGGGGGACTCTACGGGCAGAAATAAGAAAGTTCATCTAAAAAGTTTGATGCACGAGAAGAAAATTGACATCCTCTRTTTGCAGGAAAGAAAGTTATCTGAACAGAAGATCTTGGAACTAGGCCCCTGGTGGGATGGGCCACAGTTGTGGTCTCCCGCCAGAGGCTCAAAAGAGGGTGTAACAATCCTTGTCCATAAGAACTTAAATGCTGTAATTATTGATTTCTATGCGGATTTGTGGGGAAAATGGTCTTGGATTAAAATAGGAATCGAGGGTCAAGAGTGG